CCGGTTGGATTCTGGGGATGAAAATGCATCAACTCCACACGATTCTCGCGTCCTATTGCTGCAGCACTTGGCCTCCGTTAACATGAGAGCCATCCCCTATTTCTGCCTGAAGCGCGGATACTTTGTGCCGCAAAGAGTCAGGGCTGTAGGACGCAGAACTACTGGCATACAATGGCGCGCTGTTTTCTTATCACCTGTTGTTTTTTTTATTTCTCCTGGCAGCCAAAGGAAAAACCTTCCGCGATCGGCAACCAAGCACCGGAGAGGCATCGGACTAAGGAGCTAGATCATGGGCAGTGACCAACTGACGCTGGCAGAAGACTCACCCCTTGGTGGCTCTTTTGTTGTTTTTGTGTGTGATTCTGCCGTTTCTGATAACGCGCAGAACCCTCCTCCTGACGCTACTTGTGTCGTATTGATGTCGGCTGCCGTGGTTGGAAAGCCCACAGCTGACATCCAGGACTCCGTTCGAGACTCCTTGCACATGCGGCCCATAAACGCGCAGGGAGCCAGCTTCTCCTGATTTAAACCGTATGCTGGTGCTGATCGCCATTGTGGTCGGTGTCAGGATCTTTCTGCCCTGAGCCCTCATCAGGGTTATTAGCTGCCTCAAATGCCCACAGGACAGAACAGTTTCAGCAGGTACAGCCGCGGACATGGATCACCACCCACCCTGACGCGGCAGCTGGTCGGCTTACTCTACCAGGTCCTAGACTCAGCCAGTCATGACGTGCTGCTTTCAGCGCTCAGGACACGCCCGTTTGTTGGGATGAAGAGTGACGTTAGTGGCTTTTCCCCGCAGCCGTTTCGTCCTGGCTAGGCATGGTGCAACTCGATCATATTAACGACGAGACACTCGTGTTCTTTTACCAGAAAAACTCAGACTTTACCTAATAAAGAAAAGGTAAGGGTGACAATGCATAAAACACAAGGCTAGCAATGATTTAATGTTAAAATGCAGCTGACCATTTAACAACGGCAATGGAAATAACTATGACTATGACTTTTGTTGTCCTTAACAACTGTGTAGTTTTGTGTCCAATCCAATGTATTTCTCATAATGCCAATTCAAGATGATCAATCTGTGCCATTATTGCCAGGGTAACACTTTTGAAAACAGTATAGTCTTAAGTTGTTCATCAGTGACCTGATGGTCTATTACTTTAGCCTGTGTCTGTGGCATGCTACATTTTGGCACTTTTTGATATTTTGCCCCTTGCTCATTCCTCTTTAAAATGGTATGTAAAGGCCATTATTGAGAGTGACTGCTGCGTTTCAGTATATGGATTTTAAGTTACTTAATTTAACATGTAAAAACTTCAGCATCTATTTTCATCTTTTCTTGCCTCTGACTTTGACATTACCACAAGATGTCGCCATCAGCTCACAGAGTTAAAATACTTATTTTCTTTGCGACGCTCCACCCTCTGGTCTAAGAGAGAGGGTTTGTAATTCTTTGTTCGTGGTATCGCAGTGTCCTCACTGTTTTGAGGGGCTCTGATCTGGATACATCATTAGCAATGTTACCTCTGGAGTGATATTTTTCGAATTGACTTGTCTAGCAGGCTATGGACAGAATGCAACAAGGGAATATTTTCCGGCATTGGATTTATTTTTTGTTCCACGTATCTCACATATGGAGCCTCGCAGCAGCACAGATTGTGTATTCTGTTACGGAGGAATCGAGCCCCGGTACCACTGTGGGGAATTTGGCGAAGGACTTACATCTAGATGTACAAGAATTGGAAACTCGGGATTTTCAGATTTCAGGACCTAATACGAGGTTTTTCGAAGTGAATGTTAAGACTGGGATACTGTTAATGAAAGACAGAATAGACCGAGAGGAGCTCTGCTCTCGCAATGTGAAGTGCTCCCTGGAAGTGGAAGCCATTGTGAACTCTCCGTTGAATCTCTATCGTTTTGAGGTTAAAATATTGGATATAAACGACAACGCGCCCTCTTTTCGGATACCGGGAATTGTTCTGAACGTGTCTGAGTCAGCTTTTCCCGGTGAAAGATTTACACTAGCAAAGGCTTTCGATGCAGATGTCGGTAGTTTTTCAGTTAAGGGCTACAAGCTGAGTCAAAATGAGCATTTCACCCTGGATGTGCAGAATGGTGGAGAGCCGACAATGTCCGCTGAAATGGTGCTGCAGAAAGCCTTAGACCGTGAGAAACAGCCAGTTATCAAACTAACGCTGACAGCTGTAGATGGAGGCAAACCTCCCAAATCAGGCACACTACATATCACCGTCAATGTACAAGATGTAAATGATAATATTCCAATATTTGATAAGTCGCTGTACAAAGCCACCGTGCTTGAGAATACACCGCGCGGTGCAACTGTAATGTCTGTGCATGCTCAGGATTTAGATGAGGGTCTTAATGGAGAAATACTGTATTCTTTTATCAANNNNTGGATCACGAAAAAAGCAATGCCGTTGAAATCCGGGTACAGGCAAAAGACAAGGGGTCAAGTCCGAGAGCATCTCACTGTAAAGTACTCGTTGAAATCGCGGATGTTAATGACAATCCACCAGAAATATCAGTAACATCTTTAGTCAACGTAGTGAGGGAAGACGCAGCCCTAGACACAATGGTGGGACTTATAACGGTGAGAGATAACGACGCAGATAAAAATGGCGCTGTTCAGGTTAGAATAGTTGATTCAGTGCCGTTTACAATTAAAAACACATATAAGAATCATTATTCTTTGGTCGTAGACGGACCTCTAGACAGAGAACGAGATTCTCAGTATAATGTAACAATAACAGCGACTGACGAAGGGGTTCCGCCTCTTTCCGGTACAAGCGTCATTACAGTGCACGTTTCTGATGTCAATGACAACGCACCTCGTTTTAAAGAGTCTGTGATTAACATTTTTGTCAAAGAGAACAGTCCCACAGGTGTTGTTATCTATACTTTAACTGCAGATGATCCGGATGTAGACGAAAACGCTAAAGTAACATTTTCAGTAATTAATAATAATCATAAAAACAATATAATAGGATCAGTTATAAACGTCAACTCAGAGACTGGAGATATAG